CTAATTAGAATCCTAGCCCAGGACCCTCTTATTACAATTCGGTTGCCCTACCAATCAAACTCTGAGGCCAATCTTGTATAGTAATAGTATATCCTTTTGGATTTCTCATAATACAAGTTTTGCAAGTAAATACATAACTGCATCTCATACGGTAAGTAATTCAAGATATTCAATAGTTTCTTTCAATAACCGATGAATACATGCTTATATAGATGGAGAAAATTGATGATAAACTTTGTAATATACAGAAAGAATGCACGTATAGTAAATGAGACCGCGAATTCAAATGCACTTGGTTATCATCTAACTGCATTGCAAGATAATTCTGACATCATATTATGATTACTCATTACATTTTCTGAATGTTTTTTTTTTAAAGTTTATAGTGAATATTTACAAGAATGAGTTACAATCCAATAAAATTCAAACTTAGAATAGAATGCACATTATATGGCACATAATACCAGTGGTGGCTTCAGAATTTGTCAGACGAGGGGTGGGGGTGTGAGGCGATGTTCCCAACGAGAGCAACTTGTGCGTGGTCGGGCGTCGCTGAAAATCCTCCGAAAGTTGTTCCCCGAAAAATATGTCAATTTAGGAGTTTCAGGGCTAAGTTAATGAATTTTAGAGTCTACTAATATGCCTATGTAGAAAATACATAGGCCTACATTTTTTTTTGTCTCCCACGAATTGTGTTTTTTCTCCCCGACAGGGGACCCTGCGTTCTAGAATATCTCTATGCGCCAGTGGAGAAGTTCTTGGAAAAGGAAACAAAGAAAGGGGTTGGGGGGGGGGCAAGAGGAACATAAACTTCAAAATAGAAATGAGAGAACAGAAAAGCCAAAAACAAAAGAAGCAAGACCGAATTCACATAATTACACCAATATTGTTTTTATTTTCTTAATTTCAAGGCATCTGTTTTCTATGAATCCTCGATATAACTCAATTGCACTTGTTACATGGCCAATGCCAAGGAAACAATACAAACTTTGACACATTTAATCTGGTAAGTGCTGTTTAGTAATGAGTAGGTCGTCCCACTTGGATTATAATACAAAGTGGATATTTTAAACTTGAAAAATGAACCTTTCTTAGAAGTACAAAAATACTCAAAATAAGTGTATATAAAAGCAAACGAAAAATCAGAGAGATTCATAATAGGCCCCTATGTTTATTTGTCTATAGGTCTTACCAACAAATTTTTCTTCAGAAAGGCATTTTATAATGCTTAGGCATATTTGTTTAATTATTATATCTACGGTAGTGGAAATAAATTACGTAGAAAGTTCTAAACCTGCTGATGGAAATGGTGAGTATATTCTTTTAACTTTGGTTGGCACACACAGAGGTGGCCAATTTCTTATACGAGTGTAGCTCATACACTGGTCTCCCCACCACTCTGGAATTTGAGTTATTTATCCTATATTTGGTAAAATAAAAACTGAACTGAACACAAGTGACTACCACCAGTTTTCGATTGAGCTAAGGCTGCTACTCTCTTAATATTTCTTAAGAGATCTATTATAGGGGTGTGTAATCGTACTAATTATGCTAAAACCACGTGAGGTGGGCATCGTTTTTAGACCATAGGACAACTATTGCTATTAAAAATTCATAATTACCTCTAGCCTGGGTTCCAGGCCCTAATTTTGTGTTAGTCACTCTCTATTGCACTTAGTGCGCGCCATACCTAATTTAAATGGCGTCCCATACTCAAATTCTTTTTTTTTTCGGATTATTCCGTCTCTAAATTAACTTTCTCGTTGGTGGCGCTGTCCAGAATGAGAAAAATAATTAAAAAAAATAACAGACTTGTGGCAAGTCTAAATCACCTCCATCTCCATCTTACCTTCATAAACTTATTTATTCATTTATTTATTTTATTCTGTTTTTACTCCAACATAGAGATCGTAGGTAGAAGGAAAATTAGCTCCTATTCCCAATGGGATTCACATGCCATAACTCTATATACTCTTTTACGTACCGGCCTGCGTTCTGAACTTGATTATTTTCATACTATGTTCACCAAAAACAAACTTAACACCTGTCCCCAAAGGCTTTTATGCATATTCACCCTTTCTGCTCCAACTCTTTCTCAATTCAAATATCTGCTTAAAACTCACCTTTTTCCATAGTTGATACTTTTTAAGCGCTGTGAGACTCCGGTAAGGAGCGCTATATAAAATATAAAATATTATTATTAATATTATCATAATATTTTTCCATTATAAATATCTTACTTCAGTGATAATTGGAGAGCCATGCAAACAGAACATATGTCAAAATGGTGCTGAGTGCATAGTTCAGAACGGGAACGTGTGGTGCAACTGCCCTCTGGGATATCAAGGAAGTTGGTGCGAACAAGGTAAAACTATTAAGTGTTATAAAAAAAAGATAAAATGTACGAATTAATACATAAATCAATTATCTAAATTAATACAGGTAATAGTTCATAAATCTGGTCATGGGTTCGAATCCCATCTTATTGATTGACTTATTAATTTTTTAATCGTTTGTGATTCTTTAACAAGTAAGGCAAATGTAAGTCTAGTTTGAGTATAGGCCCTACTCATTTTTACTGAAATCCAAGCTCACTGAATGAAATACTCTGTAATATGATCAATCAACAGATACATAATTTAACAGATATCTTCTTAAATTAAACAGCGATCGACGAATGTTACAGTATGCCATGCAAAAACGGAGCAATCTGCGAAGATGAAATCAATGGTTACAGATGTCAATGCCGAGAGGGATACGGAGGCGTTAACTGTGAAAGAGGTAACTACGGCTCTACTTTATCTTACTTTTAAAAGTTTAAAAATTGGAATATATTACAAACTTGGTTGATAGGATCATGCTTATTTTCTAATTTCACGAGTTCGTGATGGCTCACTCTGATCTTCATATCTTTAGTTAGTCACTTAATTATGGAGGAAAGAAAGCAGCCTCAAATCTTGTAGGTATAAAATCGAGTGGATGTTGTTTCTCACGACTAAACCCAACACCCTAGAAATCATAAAATTGATTTGTTTACCGAGCATCTCTTAGAAACATGTATTATTATGACAAAATAGGCCTATATTACTTTTTTTGTTGTGAATTTAGATGAAATTTACACATCGTCCAACTTTAAAATCTTTCATATTATGAATTAAGTGGCCTAAGAGGAACGGCTCTGCTGAACCAAAACTATTTAATATAGCTATGATTAGTTTTACATATTTAGCAAAAAAGCCGTACTATCATGTATCTCAGATTTGTTTGGTTGTCTGAACTGATACTAGCTGAAATACGCTGATCATAGCTACGTAACACTATTTTTCTTTCTTCATTATAGAGACCAACGAGTGTCGAAGCTCACCCTGCATGAACGGTGGCACTTGTTTTGATCAGTTCAACGGATATACTTGTGTATGCACAAAGAAGTATATGGGACAAAACTGCGAAATAAGTAAGTTGAAAGAGAATGCTGTGCATCGTTTATATGCCTACTTTGATAATCTAGTAATAATATCGCATTTGTTGAATAAAAGAATTGTTTGATAGTGATGTATCAACGAAAACTAAAAATATCCTCTTTTTTAGTATTGTCGGGAAAGAAGAATTTCTGCAAACGGAGACAGGATGGAAATTACAGGAACCCGGAAAGCTGCTCAAGCTTCATCCAATGCAGCGGAGGCCGACTGACCGTGCAGAAGTGCCCCGGCAAACTAGCGTACGATGTGCATTCGGATACCTGTGACTACCCTTCTAAGATTCGAGACTGCCATCTAGAGTCCAACTTCTGCTATCGGAGAAGAGATGGCAATTACCGAAACCCCAAAGACTGCACGCAGTTCTACCAATGCTCTGGTGGAGAGGACTACATCCAGTACTGCCAGAAAGGTCTGGTATATAATCAAAACTATGACAAATGTGACTACCCGTATAATGTACCAGAATGTGAATTTGTTGGAAAGAATGACGGTCGGTTTTGTGATGATCGTCCAGATGGAAATTACAGACATCCTAACGATTGTAAGAAGTTCTTCACGTGTTCTTCGCACATACGGTACATTTTCAAGTGTCCAGTGGGCCTGGTTTATAATCGAGATAAAGGTGTATGTGACTGGCAATCGAATGTACCAGAGTGTTCATGCAACCGATGTGGATTCTGTACAAAAACCTCGACTGATACCTATCCACATGCTTCAGATTGCAAACAATTTTTACAGTGCTCAAACGGAATACTAATAACACGGTCTTGTCCATCAGGTCTAGTATACGTCGCTTCCAAGCATAGATGCGACTACCCACCATCAACTGGTGCCTGTTCTTCCATCATAGGTAACGGTTTTTGTCATGGAAAGTTTAATGGATTGTACAGTGACCCAGATAATTATAGTCGATTTTATCAATGTTCAAATGGTGTTCCATATCATTACAGCTGTCCTAGCGGGTTAGTGTACAACGAACCGACAAAGCGGTGCGAGTATCCGCAATACGTCCCTGGATGTGATATACCCACAGATGTTCACAACCCTTTCTGTGATTACAAACAAGATGGTCTCTATCGGGATCCGAGCGATTGTAATAAGTTCTTTAAATGCTTTGGACATCTTACCTACCATTTGTCATGCGCCGAAGGGCTAGCGTTTGACAAAAAGCGTCTAGCCTGCAGAAATAGTCGTCATGTCGCTGAGTGTGCGGAACCAGAGGCTAACATGTGTGCCCGCCGCGAAGATGCCGTGACGCGGGATCCGAACTCTTGCTCGCGGTTTTTTATATGTAAAGATGGAATGCAGTTCTCTCGGAAGTGCTACAGTGGATATGCCTACAGCTCAGAAACTGGGAAATGCGAACCAAGATCACAAGTACCCGGATGTAACGAGCAGGATGAAACGTGTACTGGGAAGCCGGACGGGAATTACCCTCACCCTCGTGACTGCACTAAGTTCATTTTTTGCAGCTCTGGTTTTGGCTACAGCCGTTCATGTGGTGAAGGAATGACCTACAACAGCAGGACTAAACGTTGTGAGCCTTAGCTTTGTTTGTGCACATACCGTATAAACCGTCCTGTTTGCAAATTATCAATGCTAAGATGTGACTAGAATCAACGACACAGTATAACTAAATTTTACCATTTTCTAATTTAAGTATCGTATGTTACGTCGTATTTTGTAATATATGTCGTATTTTGTAATACCTGTCGTATTTTGTAACAAACCTTGTCGTATTTTGTAATAACAGAGCTGTTGTATTTTGTAATAACTATCTGTCGTATATTTTAATAAACTGAACTGTCATATCTTGTGGTAAAGTCTGTCGTATTTTGTAATAACACATCAAATGCATGATTTCTTCCATACTTTGACAGTTTTTGAGCGAATAAAGTTTTTCATTGGTTTAATAAAATATTTGTTGGTGTAGCTGTATGATAAAAAGAGGTAAAAAGTCGCGTGAAAAGTAATATATTTTAAAAAATCTTTTCATTTACTGTATAATACACAAAAGCTGTATATAATACAATACTTTAATGTGCAACTTTGTCAAATAACCGCTAATGACCTCTGATCTTGAAAATAATTTCTGGTGATCCTCAAGCAGGAGTCATCTTTCTTACGCCATTTTTTTTAATAAATTCAAAAATAATACAAAAATAATGGTTATTTTTTTAATGACCTTTAGTGCCAATTGACCATGTAACGGTTCCCAATCACAAGCCATTGTTATCACATCTATAAATTTTTTTTATACAACGTTCATTATTGTATAATAAAATGTGAGAAATATATGACCTACTTGGACCTCTTTTTATCACACAGTCACACTAAACAATCATTATCACAAACATGTTATTTAACCCATCAAAACCTGTATAACTATAACTATAGAAAAAAAAGAGCGACCGACTATGTGACCTTTGACCTCTTAGTGTAATATACTTAATACCAAACAAATCATTAACACAAGTTTTCATATAATCCCTCAGAAACTGCCAAAGTATAGAAGAAAATAGGCATTTGATGTGTTACAAAACACAACAGACTTCATTACAAAATACGACAGCTCAGTTTATTACAAAATACGACAGAGAGTTATTACAAACTATGACAGCTCTGGTATAACAAAAATACGACAAGGTTTGTTACAAAATATGGCAGGGACGTATTACAAAATACGACGATTATTTCAAAATACGACATATTAACCATATGCTGTTAAGATACATTAATTGTAAGATTTACTTTGTGAAACAGTCAATACTATCGAACATACACATTATGATTATTATTATTATTATTATTATTATTATTATTATTATTATTATTATTATGGATTATAATATTATTATTATTACTACTACTATTGTTCTCATTATTATTATTATTGAAATTTTATAATTTATTTAGATTTAATAGTTAGGAATATGGGTCAAGGCTCATTAAGTGAAGACATCTGTCTTTAGAATAATTGGTAATCCCACTAACACAAAGCATAGTATAATGATAATTGTAATAATTCAAAAGTTTTGTATGAGCTATTCAATTGTTATATTAACTTTATTATAAGTTTTCCTTCTGTCATTGTTGTTTATACCAATCTTCAATTTAGTTCTACAACTGCACAGTTTTTGAATTAAAAAAAAATACAGCAAATAGAAAATAAACGTTTTGTCTTATTTTGTATTACAACTCTGTCGATCGAAGATGATTGTTCGTAAGAGGGCGCTGTAAACGTCAAACTCCTCTCAAAAGCCTGCTGGTATGAACAATGTAACCATTATGCAGACAAACTGATCGATACCATTTCTTTTGTCTTGATGGATAAGTCTCAATAAAAGTGCCTTTAAACAAAGTTCGATATCTATGAATAAATAAACCCCAGGTTTGTTCTTTCTAACCCATGTCTTGGAAACCAAGCTGATCAGCCAGACACAGATTAGTTTGAGCGGCAAACATCTTGGACTCCAGCCTTTTGTATACAACGCTGCAGGAGGTAAAAATAAATATTTTTATAAATTTAACATCGCGTAGGGTCGGCCTTGGTACCGTATGTACAAAGAAATGCTTCCGCTTGATACTTATTTGACTTAAACTTTAAAACACAAAGCTCTTGATTTCCGGACACATAGACCTACTTACTAATGAATCTAATGTTATCATAAATGAATGATGGCTACTTCATCAACCACCAAATGTGTTCAAAATATCTAAATATACCTCCTACTTATTTTATTATTGTTTGTTTTGTTTTTCCGTTAGTAGGCCTACTTCCATATGTATATAACAACGTTTCGACGAATTAGAGGCCTCGTTCGATGTAGGCCGAAACTCTTGATATACATAGGCCTATATATGATAGGTATTTAAAATAAAAACCCTTAGTAACCGGTAATGTAGGTGAATAGGCCCTAGTAGTACAATATTGTGTAGGCCTACTGTATAACAAACATCTTGTGTAGTCCTAATAATTAACTAAATGTAGTCTATCACTATGCAGGCCTTTGCAGGTTCTGTTTTGATTGATGTTTCCAATTGACAAGAGAAACTCTTAAAAAATAAGATGTTAAAAGTGCTGTTATAAGAAATACGAATATAGACAGAAGACCTAGCCGCTGTGGACTGCCTGTTTATTGTAATCCTTTGGGCAGGCTACCTATGAGGAATGAGGTAGGGTTAGTAGGTTTGAACATACAATTCCCAACGGGGATAGACATTGCGTGCTTAGACAGGGTCGCAATGGGCCTACAAGGAAGGATATTGTTCAAAACTGTTTCTTATAGCTCCGTACAGGCCAAAATGCCACATAACAAGAAGGCACGGTTGCTCTTCATATTGTCGTGTGATCACACTCATAAGTAATACTAACCAAAGATATTGGGATGGTTGCCGAGCAATTTTTACTCCAATTCAACCAGAAGAGTTTTTTTAGGAGGAAACTATCATAAAACCATTTTAAATTTGCTGCAGGTTTGAATTCCGTCGACAGCATGCCCCAACCAAAAAGGGATCTGGTTCGGTTCGTCATACATCAACACAAACAGGATCCGAAGGAGGCCGTAGCTCACGTCATCAAAGTCGATGAATATGACAAGGTAAACTAAATAGGGAAATATTCGCAACTTACGAAAATGATGATCGTCATTCGTGTCTAAAACATTCTTGGAAATTTGCTGTGTGAGCTGAATATGATCCTTGATTCATGCAAAAGGCATGAATTGCCTACGTTGTGACAGATAGGCCTATGCTACTGTAGGAAAAGGGGTAGTGGTGGCGCCAGGACCTGCCGATGGAGGGGCTAAAGGCACCGACAGGGGACTAGTGGAGTGAATCGAGTCTCAATTGGCCGGGGTGGAAGCCACGGATATTTGATGAATTATGGCGAATTTTTATTACTTATTTGATAGGCATCGAGTTACCGGTACTATAATATGACTTCATGTATTCTATGCTTTCTAATGTTGAGATCAGCTTCCAAAACCAAAACATTTTGAATAAAGCAAGAAACAAAGAGTATGCAATGTAACCATCTAATTTATTTTCAAATCCTCATTCTTGAAAGTGAAATTCTATATTTTGGAAATTTTTCATGAAATCTGTCAACCACGCTGTCATGGTCGAGGTTGCTTCACCTATCACGATGTATTCTAACCATCATGAGGCTATCTAAATGAGCATTTTGTTATTGTTATTGTTATTGTTGTTGTTGTTGTGATGAAAAGTTAACACAAACAATATGGTGGCTAAACGAATATTACATGTAAATATTTTTTTTTTATTTGTTTGTTCCCCGACAAAATGTATCGTCTTCCCCGACGTGGGTGGGGGCTATGCTTCCCCAACGTATAGCCCCAGCCCCCCTCTGGCGCCACCACTGATAAGGGGTGTCAAAAAAATTGATGACGTAACCGTATTCGTTATCGTTTTATTTATGCTTGCAAAAACTTCATGTAAACTAACCAATTTTTATTAAAGAAAACATATGGAGAATCAACTCTGGTACCGTAATAAACGGACAGTCGGTGCATTCAATAATATTCACAGCTAATGAGAACACATAAAATTAAAACAAAGGGAGAAAAGTTTATTTGAATAGGCCTATCATGAATATTATCATTTTTGTTATTTTAACATTTAATTATAACACAAAATATTTAATAACTGTATTTTCGTTTGTTTCAATGTACCAACAGTTATGTAAAAAGATGGCCGATGCTGGCTTAACATTATGTGAAGCTGTCAAGGGAGGGCCCTTCAAGGCGATGGTAGGCGAAGCATTCATCGTACGAATCGTCGGTGACGTCATCATGAACACGTTCGGGGAGCACAGCTACCGAAGTGACCGACTTCAGATGAAGTACCTACGAAATCGCGTCAACCGCAGAGAATTCTACGTGAAAGGTTACTACCGAGGCCGTTACCAGCCTGAGTATGCCGGGAAAGTGTTGTTACATCGCATGACGATCCATGCAGGAACGACCAATAAGGGCAGCGGTAGACAGTTCGGAATGACGAATCTGGAAAGTGTGCTAGGGAACGTGGTATCAAGTATAGCGATCGTAGTACCAAAGGTAGGCCTACGTTTTAAAGCCAACTCAGACAGCGTCGGCCGACGCAGCCCGACCCGATTTATCATCGGGGACAGCCTTAAGCCGTCGTGAGGAACGTGTCCAGACAATTACCCCCTGGAAAATCATCCCCCGGAAAATTACCCTCCGGAAAAACCAACCCGATGGACAATTACCCCTGGTATATTACACCCCCCGGGGTAATTGCCCTTGGGGGGTTGTTTTCCGGGGGGGGGTAATTTTCCGGGGTTAATACCCAGGGGGTAATTGTCCTAGAACCCGTGAGAAATGTTAAACATGTTTAATATTCTACGACGCGACTGCCCCCGACGCACACCATCGCGTCTGCGTTTGACTCACACAGACCCGACGCGACAACAAATCGCGTCGGGCTGCGTCGTACGACGCTGTCTGAGTTGGCCTTAATAGCCATCTCTCAAAATGAGAGTATGAAGACATTTTCAATGAACATTGACACCATAAACCAGTTGCTTAAAACTGTTATATTTTGTTATACTATTAATACATGAAGAACGAATAGGTCGTTCAGTTATTAATCATTGCTTAATTTTCGATTTCCAGATTCCTGATGACCCTGTACCGCAAGAAATTGCCGAAATATTTACTGAAGATGACATGAAAAAAGGTACACTTGCATTTTCCAAATGTTATTTCAGTGATAGACCTAAAATTTTCCATAATATTTATAAATATGTATTATGTAGGCCTACAATAGTGTATGTGCTGTAACTGTATTCGTCTCTTGCGTCTTTTATATATATATATATATATATATATATATATATATAATGTGTATATAGGCCTATGCATATGTATATTATGCATGCACACTCGGAAAATTTTGGTTCAAACACTGTCTCTTATACACATCTAGATGTGTATAAGAGACAGTATATATATATATAAACACAATATAAACAAATCGGTAACTAATTATAACAGAGATCGAATAGGAACATGTAACAATTGTAACAAGCATATAGCTCATCATGGAACTTTTCGTTATAAGCGTGATACGAATATTACATTATGTTCCTATTTTCGATTATTTATAGATTTGTATATATATGTATATATATATATATGTATATATGTAGCGGGTGTTTACCCCTAGTTTACCCCTACTTGATAGTAAGCGAACAGTCACTTAATTCATCGTGGGGGCTCGGGTTCCAGTTACGCGCTGCTCAGTCAGTAGGCTTATGCAACCATAAATGAAAACTACAAAATCCTTTCTATGTTAACACAACTATAGTATTTATTAGACAAAGGGGGATTACAATGGGGGATTTAAACGGGAGCTTAAACTAGCCTAACAACTACTCACGTGAGAACAACTTGAAGATAAAACACGATAGGCATAGTCCATTCAGTAACTGTCCAATAATATTCATAGTGTTCGATGGTATGCAAACCATAACGACGGAAAAGCGACGGAATAGCGAAGAAGTCCAAAACAAAGTTATAAAATATAGAAGCGAATCCAACTTGAGCAGGAATGGCAGATGGCAATTCAAGTCAATCATCAGTCAAGAAATCAAAACGTCCATCCGAGAGTTCGATCAGAGCTGAACGGTGTAGACTCTGCCTCATCTAAGTTAGTGTAGAATTAAGTTGGTACAGTACTCTGATGGAATAGCTAAATGGCCAGAGCCACGGCCCTCGCGCTGAGGTACCGCTCTCTTCTCACTGGACTGGATTTCTTTTTGACTCCTCTCTATCAAACTGTTCAAAGTGTTTTAAAGAAGGACATGGCTCCTCCTTGTTCGCGTTTTAACGTATTCCATTTGTTTATTATTTTTATTAATCATGAGAAATGTAATTCTTATTGGTTCCTAGTATTGGTTAACACCCCTAAGTCACTTTCCATTCCCTATCTTGGTTCCGGTCATCCATCAAGTTTAGGTGGACAGGACACTTTTATAGGACCACAGATATGTACAATACTCTGACTAAATCCAGGGGGAACAACCTACCAAGAAATAGTAGAGTATTGCATACTGTTCATGACTATAGAAAATGGAATGCAGCTCAGGTTAATAACCTATCATGGAACTGTATTACTTTAATCTAAAGGGAAATTTAAAAAAATAGCAAAATAAATTAATCAAATAATAAGATACAAAGGCTTAATAAACACACACAAAAAAAACACACTACTACATCTATATATACATATATATATATATATACATATATACATATATACAAATAAATATAGAGTTGCTGCATAGACAGATTTGTATATATAAAATAAGAAGTCAAACAAAGTTAGCTGTATCTGTCTCAAAATAATAT